GGTGGCGAGGTGGTGGACCCCCGGCTGGCGGAGTGGGGGTTACTTCCTCCCGCTGACCGGGGGGACCTCTGTGGGTTGGAGGGGGGAGTGTGGGGACACTCCTCCCTCTAGTCACATCCCTCAGGGAAGGTTGGGATGCAGGGGCGGCCCTTGCATCCCATCATGAGAAGGGGGCCTCCATCGTTCATCCACTTGGGGATGAGGGGTGGGGCCCACCCCCATACCAACAACAGGGGGGACGCGCTGAAGCCCGCCAACAACAACGGCGGGCCCTCGTGCGGGGGGCGGTACGGACGTAATGACTCTGTCAATTCCCGGCCGCCCCCCAAGTAAAGCACAACGCAGGCCGCCGCAGGGGTTTGGTGGGTAAGCCAGCGCGCCAAACTACATCTTGGCGCGCACCTCGCTAGATAGAGGGGCAGTCCCACATAACCCGGGTCCCACCCCCAGGGGAGGCTCCTCAACAGGATTCCCTCCCCGGGACCCGGGTATCCATAAAAGATTCCCCTGCGTTACAAAAAAAAGATATGAACAAATAAACCATTTCGCATGCCTGCCGGGTCCGGCCTTCCGCTCCTTGTGTGCTCATTGAGCCAGACGTTTTTATCAATTACGCGATAAATATTGCTAATTGTGCACAACGGTACATAACTTTTCTTCCCAGTTTAACCTAATCTACCGTAATTTTTAGTTTGGCTACTAACGAGTCTGACACCCTGTATATGTATACATATATACCATAATTTGTTTTTTAATGATTTATTATATTAAAAAAACGCAAATTAATACATTTTTTTTCAGAGAATATGAGAGAATTAACATTCCTTTTTCAACAATGTGTGTGTGTGTGCGTGTGCGTGTGCGTGTACGTGTACGTTTGCGTGCGCGTGTGCGTGTGTGTGTGTGCGTGTGTGCGTGCGCGTACAAAGTAGTTATGATAAAATGTTAAATATTGTATGTATTATACATATAAATATGTAACCAAGGAAAATGAAAAGTCAAGATGATGTTAATTTGATGTCATATTGATCAAATTTATGCCATATTTTGGTCACTATGACATCAAATTGACGTCATCTTAACTTTTCATTTTTCCTTGGGTATATAATAGCCGAAATGATAGCCAACAATATAACAATTAAACTATTGATTAATTGTAAAATCAATTATCTCTTTCAGAAACTTAACATACAATATCCGAATAAATAGACTTTTATTTTTAATAATTTGTTTCTTTGTGTTATAACTGAAATACATATATTCAATGCTTATATCAGTATCATTTCTTTAACCAGGCATTTTCTGCTTCTCTGTAAAATAATATTAATCCAAAATGTAAACGTACTTCCCACTTTATACTCTGTAATGTGTGAATATAATTGTAAAAAGGACAAAACAATCCATATCAAACTGAACTTTTAGAAAATATAAGTTTGCGAGAATTTGAATTAAGTCATAAATTAATATAAAGGCTCTTAATTTATATGTCGGTCGATTTTTCATGTAGCGAGGACCAGCATAAAGACCAATACAATGTTTTTATATAATGTAGCTTAATGATAATTATTATATTGTGAAAATATACTTTAGGAAGATCATTTAAACCTGAATAGACAGTCTAAAGTTATTATCGTGAAATAAGTTTAGACTGTTTATAGCGATAAAAATTACCACATGCCTCTGTGGTCAAATTGGTAAAACGCCCTCCTAATCAGAGGGCGATGCAGGTTTAAACCTTGACTTTGGTACATTTTTCGCAATAAATTTAAAAATTAAAATCTTCTAGACAGTATAATGCTGTCTTGGCTCTTATATCCTTTATTACCTCGTATTCGTGATTTCACGTCAAAACCTTATGAATTTTATTTGTATTATAAAAGATTAATAAAAACGGTACGCACGCACGCATGCACGCACATACATTTTTAGTAAATATTCGAATTATAATACAAATTTTATTTTTATTTGAAAATTGTATAAACATATCAAACTGCCATTAATATGACATTTCTTTATTTTCTTAGAAATTTTTGTCAATTTTTCATAGAATCCTACACTATAAGCTATACTAGCATAAAATTAAAAAGATAGAATTACTTACGCGATAATTCTGTATTCAAATAATTGTATATTTCCAACAAACCCATTGTAGAAGAAATACAAGTAGTTTCACAAGTAGTCTATATATATAGGTATATACCATATATAATATAAAATATGGAAAATGTAGAATATTCCTTAATTGTGAACTTACTTTACTTTACTTATGATACTTATACGTATCAATGGTACCTTCGAAACGTTAGACCGATTCTGTCCCGTATAGAGTCACTGTACTCTATCAATTAAACGGTTTTGCTGAATTTAAATTTATGTTAAGTTGACATTCAATTCTAAATTCATCCCATATACATATGTATACATACTTTATAATAAAATGAATTGCTATTAAGTTACATACACTACGATGTTGCTTATACAGGGTGTTAAATTAGTTTAGGACCATTCCAAAAATTATGGTAGATTGGATCAAAGCAAGAAGAAAAGTTATATATTTTGCAAAATTCGTAATAATTGTCGTATAATTAAAAAAAACGTCTGAGCGAATAAGTGCAAGGAGGAGCGGAAGGCCGGACACGGTAGACATGCAAAATGGTGTATTTGTTGACATGTCTTAGGATCCGATAACGAGAGGTGGAGTCACGCATTGATCGATGAGTGACTGAGGGAGCGGGGAGCAGGGGGCGGCGAGTGGCGCGCGGATAGCTCTCGCTATCGGATCCTGAGACATGTCGACAAATACACCACGCATGCACAAAAGAAAGAGAGAGTTTAACAGTTGTAAGGAAGGAGGAAAAACGCAGTTAACATTTGGTTTAACAGTGCCAAGATTTTTTAATAAACTATAATGTCGTGAAGACCGATATGTTTTAAAGAAAGAGTTTAACACTTGCAAGGAAGGAGGAAAAGAGCAATTAACATTTGGTTTAGCAGCGCCGAGTTTTTTTAATAAACAATAATGTCGTGAATCAAGACCGATATGTATCCAACAATTAAATTAGAAAAGGCCATCTTTTAATAAATTATTTATTTGTATTAAATTTGTTTCATTATATTTTCATTAAATAAGTGTTGAAAATTTGTCTCGTTATATTATTATTTCTTCCGATAAAATTTTATGTTCGATTGTTTGGATATAACATTGTAATATCAAAAATAATAAAGTTTCTAGTTTGTATAAATATTCATTTGAGTTGACGCCATTTGATGATATCATTACTTTTGTAGAGAAGATAAAAATGTTTTTATTCTAATAAAATATAAAAGTGACGTGCAACTCTGTATAGTGAATAATCAATAGGTCTCTAGGTCAATTCAAAACAATGGAAAATAACTTTCAATATTTAACGTACAGTATTATGGAAATAAATATAAGTTAATACGACCTAACGGTTTCTTCGCGGGCTAGCTCGAGGGTGACCGGATTCGAGGATTAGGTTCAGAGACACCCCACATAGAAATTGGCATCCAGTGGTTGTCTATTAAACATCCATAGCTCCATGGAACGTCTATCTCCATGGTGGAAGCCAGATGGACGTCAATTAGAGCTCCATTAAATCTCCATAGTTCCTTGGAGTGTCTCCTTCCACGGTGGAAGTCAAATAGATGTCCATTAGATATCCAACTTACCTCTATGATAGAGTCCTTTACAAATCCATTACAGATGTTCATTAGACATCTATTATGGATGTATAATAGATTTACACATGTAGAACTTCTAATAGATTTTAATATTAAATCGGTGATTTTTGTCGACCGTGTCTGGCAATTAAAATTCTTATTGCGAAAAATATTACCCCAGCCAGGATTCGAACCTGGGACCTCCCTACAATCCGTGACGGGCGTCTTAGCCAGCTCGACCACCGGGGCTGTGATAATACTATTCGCAATAACGTGTATATAACTTTAAGATGTTGTTTACGCGTCTATTTCGACTTTTCAGAAACTGTGCGTCTTCCGTTCCCAGTGAGAAATGATTCGTCGATCGACGTCGAATCGACATCGACGCCGTCGAATTGACGTCGATTCGACATCATTTCGACGTCGATCGACGAATCATTTCTCACTGGGTTAGGGGGAATGGGATCAGGGGGAGGGAAGGGAAAGGGAAATTAAAAAAATCGCGTATCGACAGGTTATTGTGCGGTCGACAATCCGTATCGACGCACAGTTTCTGAAAAATCGAAATAGACGCGTAAACAACATCTTAAAGTTATATACACGTTATTGCGAATAGTATTATCACAGCCCTGGTGGTCGAGCTGGCTAAGACGCCCGTCACGGATTGTAGGGAGATCCCAGGTTCGAATCCTGGCTGGGGTAATATTTTTCGCAATAAGAATTTTAATTGCCAGACACGGTCGACAAAAATCACCGATGTTATTAATTTATTAATTACTACTGGCGACTTTAAGAGTATTCTTATTAGTTTAATATTAAAGTTTCATTTTTAATTAAAATTTATCAGGTAAATTTGAAAGTGCATTTAAACATTACCACACATTATACAGTTTAATTATAATTATAATTAACAGACGTTTCGTGGCCAATAATAGACGGTTCGCGGAATCTCGTTGGATACTTAAAAGACGTTTCGTGGATCGTTCACGGACGGTTCGCGGAGCATTGATGGACGATTAATAGACGTTATTGGGATCAATAATATGGTAGAGGATTCATAGAGGATGGATGGTATATATAATAATAATAATAATAATAATAATAATAATAACACGAACAATTATATAAACCTTTTTATTTTATTATACATTTATATACAATTATATAAACCAACGAGGTTCCGTGAACCGTCTATTATTGGCCACGAAACGTCTGTTAAGGGGATGCTAAAGCCGCTGGCGAACTCGATTAGTGTCGATAAGATAGGAGATCGCGTTACTTATCGATTTTTTTTATTTCCAAGTTTT